GCACGGCCCGGGCGGCGGGGCTCCGTTCGCAGCGCGCGCCGAGGGACGCCCGGACTCGCGCGCTGGGTCCAGTGGTTCTTAACAGTTCAACAGTTCTGTAGCGCAATTGTGAAATGTTTAGGACCACTAGACCCGGCGGGCCTGGCGACACCGGCGGAGCGGACGGCGACCCGGGACAGGCGCGCTGGGCACGGCCGGGAGGAGCTCTGGTCCGGCGGCTCTCCGCCCCGAGCACCCGGAGAAGCCGCGGCGGGCGGCCGCAATCAGGACACGCCGGTGGTCCTCGCACCTTTTGGGGCCACCGCCGCCCCTGTACCCGAGCCAGGGCGCCACGCTGCCAGACGCAGGCTCCGGGCAGGGCTGGTAGTGGGCTTGGAGAGCCATGTGACTCAGAGGGCCTGGGTCTGGGAGTGGGAGTGATTCCAGATAGCTGGTGGGAGGAGGGCATTTGGGGAGATGGGTGAGAGGTGCTGGTGGTCTGAAGCTGTTGCCTTCCTGGGCCCCAATCTATCTGGTATCCTCAGGTGGAGAGCACCTGAGGGGGCATCTTTGTGAAGGTCCTCGGCCTCCAGGTGGCCTGGGATGAGGCTGACCTCTGGAATCTGCCTGCTGGCCTGCCCTTCCAGCCTTCAGGCCCATACCCTTGGCCCCTTGGTGTTCAGACAGACCCTAGGGCCCTGCACTGTGGTGGCCTGGGCCACCAGTCGCCCGGCTCTGAGCTCCTCCAGGCAAGTGAATTGTGGGGTTACACCTTCTGTCACAAGGCTAATGTGGGACCCAGGAGGCCACCTGGGGGTAGCGTCGGACCAGGAGCCCAGGCTGCAGACCCTCCCTTACCTTCCCAAGGAGGGGCTATGTTCCCTATCTGGGTCTCCCCTCCTGTGGGCATCGTTCCCTTGCCGTGGGCAGTGGTGGGTGGCTTAGCTGACCCTGCTTCCCATGGCCAGTGCATTGTGCCACCTGGGGGACATTTTCTTACCTGGGGGAGGGGGGCAGGGTCAATGTACAGAATCACCCTGCTGGGCTGAGGGGAGGGCAGCACTGGGCACTCACGCTCTCCGCTGTGAACAGCGATGCCGTAGGCAGAGAATGAATAAACTTGCTGGGAAGCCTGGCTGTGTCTTTGCGCCTTTCTCCTCAGCCCCTTGGGGACCTGCCACTCTTTCCTCCCTAGCCTGGGGGAGCTGGGCCGGCGGGAGGGGCGGGGCCTCTCTCCCTACCAACCTCCCTGAGCTCTGGCTCCTGGTCTCAGCTACTGCCACCAACTCACTCTGTAGCTAGCCTGCGGTCCGGCCCCCATCTCCCAGGGTGGGCCCTGTGAAGACACTGATTCTGGTCAGGGCTGGTGCCCGGGAGAGGGTTTGGCCCCACCCCCACCTGGCTGTAGCCAAAGGCTGGCCTCAGGACCTGACCGCCCACTGCCATGAGCCGATTCGATTCTGACTCATAGGAACCCTGCAGAGGGCTATCTATCTTTATGGGAGCAGACAGTCTCATCTGCTTTCTACAGAGCAGCTGGTGGGTTTGGGCTGCCTTCCCTGTGGTTAGTGGCCCAACACTTACCCTGACGGCTCCACTAGGATTCACAGCAGGGACACAGTCGAAGGCCCAGAGGGTTGGAGGGACAGACAAGAGTCCTGGGTTCAAATCCCACCGATGAGCTTGGGCATGCTCCTCTCTAAGCCTGTCCTCCCTCCTCTCCTGAGAGGAGCGGTGAGGCTGTCTCGGGGCTTCCTGGGGTTCAGATGATGCAGGGGACCCCTGAGAGCTCAGTCCTGCTGTAACAGGTCTAGGGAACCCCAAACAACTGGCCACATGGGTGACAAAGCCTGGCCTTCCAGATAGCCTACTATCCTCCGTGGTTCCCTCTGCCTCTCCAGCGACGGGAAGACTCCCATGTCAGCTGGGCACTGGGTGTTAGCCCTTGGCAAGGGTCGACATCTCCCCACCCCATTGCTAGGTGTGTGCTGGCTGTGGGTGTGTGCACTGGTGGAGGTGGGGGACTGTGAGGCAGAGGGTGCTGGCCTTTGGCTTTCTCTCCCAGTGCAGCTGGGTGGGTAGGTGGGGGCGGCTCTTGGAGCATGGCAGAGCGTCCGGGTGAGTCTGGGTCTGGGTCTTTAGTGCTGAGAACCTGTGTTCTAGGGACACCCTGGACTACCTACCAGAAAGCCAAACACTCATCCTTGCATTTTAGATGTGAATTTTTCAATTAATTTTTTGTCTGTTTGAAATGAGCTCCTGCATCACAAAGGAATTTAGGTCTGTCAATTTTGCCTTTCCTCCCTTTGAAACCACTCGGACCAGCGTTGAGGTGTGATGCAGGGGGATCTCTCTCTCTTAGCATGTTATTCATCGGTTTTATTGTCTTCTCCCTTAACACATCTAACACATGCAAAAAAAAGCATGCTGTACTTGCAGGTGTGAATAAAAAACAAAAATGCTTTTTTACTGTGAGCAGGTCTGTTCTCCATCCAGCAGCTCCCACACACGTGCTTCGTATCCTGGCTGCCCTGCCCACCCTGTGATATCATCCATCCACGCCCTGTGTTCCCGGCCCCAGCCCTTCAGAAGTTGGTCTTTGGGTAAGGGCTGCCTGTTGGATCTCAGATAGTGGATTCTTTTGTTTCCCCCACTTCTTTTTCCTCTCCTTCATTGCCTCCTTCCCCGGGCCACTCCATGGCTTCCGAATGCTGCTGTTCCGGGTGGGGAGATCAGTCTCCTGGTTGGTTTGTTCCTCTTAGGATGGTGGTCTCCTGCGGAATCTGAGGTGTCTGACGGTCTCGCCGTGTGTTATAGATGCATGCTGTCTCACCCACCGGGTGTGTGGTAGCTTATCCTTCTGGTGCCGCACGGGCTTTGCTCTTAGAATTGGCGCCCTGACACGTGGTGTGGTTGTGTTTGTTCACGTGGTGTTTATTTTCTTTGGGTACTTACCAGGTAGGGAGATTACAATGTTATAAGGTATTTCTGTGCACATTTGTTTAAGGATTTACAAGCCTTCAGTGGCTGGTGATGGTGCGCTTCTTCCGTGTGCACTTAGTTGACATCTCACTTAGACGGCTGCTTGTTTGGGACAAGCCTTTAAGCTATTTTGTCTGATCGCCGTCTAATGTTTATACCTGTGGTATATACGCTATTGGACAGAAGAATGTTCAAACAGCATAAGGAATGTAACTTGGAGAGTTCCACATTAGGTAGCTTCCCAGCCACCTGCCTGAGAGAGATTACAAGTGCCATTTTAGCAACCGGTTCACCAAACTCAACAAAAAATTAGGTATCAGATAAGGCCTGGGGTCTTAAAGTTTTGAAGATAAACAAGCGGCCATCTAGCTGAGAAGCAACAAAGCCCACATGGAAGAAGCACACCAGTCTGTGTGACCATGAGGTGTTGACAGGATCAGGTATCAGGCATCAAAGATCCAGGACAAAAGATCATATCAATGTGAATGAGCGGAAGTGCGGAGTGGAGCTCCAAAGCCCATCTGTAGACAATTGGACATCCCCTTACAGAAGGGTCACAAGGAAGAGATGGCTCAGTCAGGGTGCAGGACAGCACCGATGAAACATACAACTTTCCTCTAGTTTTTTGATGTTCCTCCCTGCTCCCCTCCGCACTATCATGACCCCAATTCTATCTTACAAATCCGGCTAGACCAGAGCATGTACACCACTACAGATAAGAGCTGGAAATGCAGGGAATGCAAGACAGATAAACCCCTTAGGACCAATATTGAGCGTAGTGATACCAGGAGGGGAAGGGGAAGGTGGGGAGGAGAAGGGGGAACTGATCATAATGATCTACCTGTAACCCCCTCCCTGGGGGATGGACAGCAGAAAGGTGGGTGAAGGGAGATAGCGGTCAGTATAAATTATCAAGGGTTCATGAGGGAGGGGAGCAAATGAGCTGATACCAAGGGCTCAAGTAGGAAGAAAATGTTTTGAGAATGATGATGGCAATCCCTTCAGGACCAGTGCTGAGAATGGTGATACCTGGAGGGTGGAGGGAAGGTAGGGCAGAAAGGGAAACCGATTACAAGGATCTACATATAACCTCCTCCCTCAGGGATGGACAACAGAAAAGTGGGTGAAG